ATACTAGTCAGATATCTTGTCCAATGCTATACTGTGCGTGTTTACCTGGTACTTTTCTCATGATTGACCCACTGGTGTCGAGTAATTCCTGACTCACAGCAACCCTACACGACAGAATAGAACTGCTCCACACCGTGTCCAAGGCTGTAAATCTGTATGCAAGCAGACTGTCTGATCTGTCTCCCACAGAGCGACTGGTGGGTTTGAACTGCCGACCTTTCAGGCAGCAGCTGATGCATCACTCACTGTGTTACCTTGGGGTTGTGAGGGTCTTTTGGTGGGTGGGAGAACACAGAGGTAAAGACCAGTTTCATTGTATCATATCACATCAGCATGACTTAATCACCATTGATGTTGACCCAGACCCCTTGGCTTAAGGTTCTCCGTGGAGAAATGACAACCCCCACCCGCCACTCACCTTCCATACTGTGCTCTTTGGAGGGAAACCACTGTGCTCAGCTGTGCTGTGAGATGGGCAGGTGGGTGGAATTATTGTTAGGTGGTATTGTGTAGGCATCTACTCATGGCAACCCCTCTGCACACCAGCACAAAGGTGGAGTGTCTGCGTTCAGTTAGTTCTAGAAGTTTTGGAATTCTTCTGTACAGGAGACTTGTCTGTTCTGCCCCATAGTTATATATGTCCTTGTTGGTTTCTATCAGTATGGACTCTGGGTTGCTCTTTTGTACTCTGAGCTATGACTCAGTCATGCAATATGTATTTTGTTGGGGAGGCTGTGCCAGCTGTGGTGATTGGGAGCTCTCTCAGTGGGTTCTTATGTCCCTTGGGTATGCCCCCATTGCTCTTTTTGGCTTTTGAGCATTTCCTTCCATTCTGCTGCTACAAGATGGCAGGTAGAGCTTTTACTGATGTCTCCCTGAATGTTTCTGTTCTAGCATGTGGACTATGCTCGGGCAGTTTTAGAATACTCATTTTGAAATTGCAGGTAGAACCCATGGTGCATTCACTTGAATAACCTGATTGTTGTTAGACGCTGGTGCTTGTTTTAATGCTTACAGACCCCACCTGGAAGAACTGAAGTTTCCATCATGTTTTCTAGGTGATAATCTCTACAGGAGCAGATGGTTAGGTCTTCCTCTGGCATAGCTTCTGGGTGGGTTCGAACTGTCAACCTTCAGCTAGCAGCCAAGTGCTTAACCATTGCATCAGCAGGCTTCCTCTTGAGTGGCAAATCCCTGTTTTTTCACTGCAGTCGTTTGTCCTGAAAAGAATCAAAAGCCAATTGGAGTCAAATCTGATTACTAACTTGGACTCAGAAGGGTGATAGGTAATACTAAAATGAGAAACAAAGAGACAGCAATATAAGCACATTGCTTAGAAAAATGGCGGTAAATGTCAGAAGCAACAGCTGATCGATCTGGATTTGTTGCTTCTGAGAGGTGTGACTAGGAGTGCTGGCTTTGGTGTAAAGGCTATAGCACTGTTTGTCTTCATAAAAGTATCTGTGCAACGTTGAGTTTTAAGGATGCCCATGGGAAGGCTCTGATGAAGCAGGAGAGGTTGGATATACAAGAGCATGATGGGATAGTTAAAAGTTGAGCTTTCTGAGGAAGTAGAGTGATCTGGGATCTGGAATACCGAGTGGAAGAATTGGTCTCAGGAGGAGGACTGGCTGAAGCCTAACAGTAGAAGCGTTCTGCCTGTCCAGACAGTCTGACGTCTTCCTATGGTTTAAGGCCAGATGATCTCTGTTGGCTTAGGCTGCGTTCTAAAGAGGCAAAACCAGTGACGCTTATCCAGGTATCTATACTGAGGGCTTTCTCCCACTGTTGTCAAGGTGGAAGGTCCCAAGTCTGTAGGTCTGATTGCAGGCTGGAGGCTTCTCCTGACTCATGTATCTGTGGTAGCTGATGAACCTAAGGTGGGCAGGACAGATGGCAGACTTCTGGTTGTAGAGGTGAATGAATCCAAGGTCAGCAGGTCAGATGATGGGCTGTTGATGACTCCCAGGATCAGCAAGCAATATAGCAGTCCAAAGAGCAGGAGGTCAGGTGATGAGTCAGGTCCAGGATCCAGGCCCAATAAAAAGCAAGCAAGCAATATATATTGCTGGCCAGCGCATCCACATATATTGGAGGTAGGCCACTCCATCCCCGTCCTCCCCAAAGAAACTCCTTACTGCTGATTGGCTCCTCATAGCCACTCTCATACTAGAGGTGACGACAGTAGTTAGATCTCATCACAGGGGACCAGCCAAGCTGACATGTAACGAGGGGGCAAAGCTGCAGGGCCTCAGCACGAACCGAGGCAGTCGTTAGCAATAAGAAAGCCCAGACAGTAGAATTCCAGGTTCTGTGAGATTGTCCTTGAGAAAGCAGGAAAGTTGTAATTTGACTGGGCTCAGCTGCTGAGTGACCACCCGTCCTGGAGTTCTGGGCGGTCCCCATGACATTCAGCCACAGGTTCAGAGGTGCACCCCCGGTTGAGTGGTGAGCCCTACTGCTGCCTTGGCCACAGAGTGCCCCCTGGGCCAGAAGGGACAGCCTCCAGACCAGCCGCACGGCAGACCCTCTCCACAGGATTAGCCTGTCTCTCTGAGGCAAGCAGCGATGGGTTGTTTTTTTTTTTTTTGGTCAATGATAAGAATGGAAATTTCAAATGAAAATCAGAGTTTCAAACCCTTGTATCCCACTCTGAGCTTGACAGCTTCCCGGTGTGGAGACTGGGTGAGCTCATCATGACTGGTATTACCGCACATGCATCTTTATTGTCTTTTTGCTATGAGAGGGTAATGTTTGGGATATCTGCATCGCTCAGCGAACCAATGTGTTCCAGGTGACCCACGCTGGACAGCACAAAACCGTGTGTGGGTGAAAGAGCCGTTCAAAGTACAAGTGTGACCACTGATTTAATGTAACAGAGCATTACAAGGTCCTATGTGGGGTCAGATTCCACAGTACAAGTGACCTTGAAGAAACCGCCACTTGACAAGTTTTAGTGTAGTATCTAAGGTGGATTGCTGTCAAGCTGATCCTGAGTCCTGGTGACCCCAGGCGTCACAGAGTGGAGCTGCGCTGCCATGGGCTTGCTGACCTGGACCCTGTACAGAAGGACATTGCCAGCGAGTTCATCCACAGTGCTGCAGGGTGGGTAAAGATCGCCAACCTATAGGTTATTGTTGGTAAGTGCTGGCGAGTCAGTTCCAACTCATAGCAACTCTGCATAGGTTTTCTGAGGAGCAGCTGGTGGGTTTGAACTGCTGACCTTGCGGCTAGCAGTCCAGTGCTTATCCTTAGTGCCACACCGAAAGCCCAACCTATAGCTCATTGTTGTTCTTAAGTGCTGTCGAGTTGGTTCTGACCCATAGCGACCCTATAGAGGGTTTCCAAGGAGCGGCTGGTGAGCTCATGGCCCAAACCAACTTTGCAGTCGGAGCATTAACCCACCACGCCACCACGATTATATGGGAAAAACTATTTAAGTTCTTTATTTTCCTAATGATACATCTTTGTAAGGCTGGATTTTCTTCATATACTTTAGCCAAAACACTATATCACAACATACTGAGTTCTGAGAAGCAGATAGGGGAGTCCAGCTGTCTTCTGTTCAGCCAGATAGTGAACAGATTTTGGAAAAATATAAAACAGTGCTATTCTTCTCACTAACTTTTTCTAAATTATTTTTTGTAATAAATATTTATGTTGACAGATAGTGAGTAAAGAAATATTTTTAGAATGGTCTTCACTTAATTTTTAGTGTTTATTTACCGGCATGGTGTCGCTATAGGATAAGTACTGAGCTGAGAACCACAGGGTTGGTGGTTTGAGCTCACCAGCCACTTCATGGGAGAAAGATGAGGCTTTCTGCTCCTGCAAAGATGCACATCCTCAGAAACCCTGTACAGGGCCGCTGTGAGGTGGAACCCACTCGATGGCATTTAAGACCAACAAATACTGATAGATACAACTGCATGAACAAAAGCAAATGGTCTCTGAGAACAGCTGGTCTAGAGTCGTTTGCTCTACAAGCCACTCCTTAAGTAAATGGGTGAATTGTGACTGTCTGTGTGTATTGGTAAAACGGATTTTGGTTACCAGAGAAGAAAATGATTTAGAACGTGTCACCTCGTTGTCATCTCTGTCTCCCTCTTGCTGCTGTGCACGCGAGCACTGTAGTGTGAACGTGAAGGAGCCTGTGTTGTTCTCACCACAGACTTCAGTGTGTGCACAGCCCCAGTCTCTCCAGGAAGCTTCAACAGGAGCCAAGAGCGAGAATGGGGTAGAGATGTAGGTACTGAAAAGTCGACCAACATTGATGGACCATAAACAACCCCTGGATCTGGGATTTTAATAAGTCAGTTGTCACAAGCAAGGTCAACATTTGAAGGTGTTTTAATATCTGGGAGCATTGTTGTCATTGTTGTTAATTAAGTGCCACTGAGTCGGTTCCCACTCATAGCAACCCTGTATAGGGTTTCTAAGGAGTAACTGGTGAGTTTGAACCACCGACTTTGTGGTTCAAACCGACCTTGCGGTCCAATGTTTTATCCCACAGCACCACCCCAGGACTCCTTGGGAGCATTGGTGGTGGTGGTGATTGTGTGCCACTGAGTCGGTTCTGATTCATAGCAACCCTGTATAAGGTTTCCAAAGCTGTAAATCTTTACAGAAGCAGAAAGCCTCCTCTTTCTCCCATAGAGCGACTCCTAGATTCAAACTACTGACCTTGCGGTTAGCAGCCCAGCTTGTAATCCACTACGCTACCAAAGCCCCTTTGTTTTTGTTAAGTGCTATCGAGTTGGTTCTGACCCATAGCGACCTTATAGAGGGCTTCCAAGGAGCGGCTATTGAGATTGAACTGCCAACCTTGCAGTTCCCAGAACTCCTTAGCAGTCCCTAAATCTGAGCACACACCTCAGGCTGTGCCTTGGCATCTTCAGTCAAAGGTGACTTTGAAGCGAATTAGGTCAGGGGCAACTCTGGAAAAGGGTTCTGGTAGAGGACATGCATCTAGTGAGCTCTCTGTTTTATTGCTTCCTCAGATCCTCTGTCAATGGGCCCCCAGAAAGCTCTGGAAACCATCGGTGCGAACTTACAGAAGCAATACGAGAACTGGCAGCCGAGGGTAAGCCTGCTTTGTCTTCCCTTTCTTTCTTATGTCTAGAGTCTACACAGTCTGTGAAGGCATGTGAGAGAGTTGTGTGGGAGCTCACCTCCCGTAACTGTGGGCTGTGCCCCTATCACATGCCCCCCACCCCCCTATCCCCCTGGTGACTATCAGCCTAGGGCAGAGCTTCCCGATGCCGTGCGATGAGTCAGGGCATACAGAGTCTGTGATTTAGTCTGCTTAAGTTTCCTCCCAACACCTTCAGAACAGGAGAAGTATTTTTCATGTTACTCTTAAGCCCAGGTCTTCAGTTTGCATGGGCAATGTGTTTTCCGTAACTTCTCTGCAGCCTCTGCTAGCCAGAGCTGCTTTTCCTGTCTTCTGTTTTCAGTTAAGGAAAAGAAGCACCCCATTTTCTAACGATGAGATCTGCTGCCTGCGTTCTCTTTGTTTTAAAGCAAGGAGTTTGGAGGGAGCAGTTACGTAGACGTTTGTATTGGTTCTGTATTTTCAGTTCTATATAAAGAAAAATGGAATGGAGTAGAACTGTACCAAATGGCCTTTAAGGTCTTAGGGTATTTGTAAACCACCCACCCCAAGACCTATTTCCTAGAGCCTGACTCTTTAGCTGCTATGGGGACTTCATCTATTTAATAGGGAATTAGGGTTTGGGGTGCTCACCTACCTGTGGGACATGTAGAGCGTGCTGCAGTTGACAGGCTGAGCAGATGGCCGTTCCGTATGGACACTTGCCTGATAGTTGATCATCATGATGTGTGGGGAACAGGAGACGCTGTGCCTGTCCAACTTGTCCAGTCAGTTGTAGTGGACCTTTGTCCTCTGGAAGGTGCTCTTTAAGAGGTTATTGTCGTGTCTGAAGGCGCTGTGTTTCCTCTCCTCCACCGTGTTGCCTTTAGATGCTTTTCCTGAGAGTGCAATGTGTCAATATTATGGCCACCAAGTGACAGTGACCCTGTGGACAGGAGAGCACTGCCCGGTCCTGCACTGTTCTCACAATTGTTGTCACGTCTGAGCCCATTGTTGCTGCCACTCTGTCAGCCTGTGTCACTGAGGGGTTTGCTCTTTTTCAGTGACCCTCTGCCAAACACGATGTCCTTCTCCAGGGACTGGTCCTTCCTGATCCATGTCTAAAGCACGTGAGAGGAAGTCTCACCATCCTTGCTGCCCAGGGACAGTCTGACTGTACTTCCTCCAAGATTGCTTTGGCCTTTCTTCTGGCGGTCCACGGCTTAGTCACCGTCCTTCATCAACTGCGTAATTCAAAGGCATCAGCTCTTCTCCAGTCTTCCTTAGTCGTTGTCCACCTTTCACACGTATCTGAGGACAATAAAAGCACCGTGGGCTTGTGTGAAGTAGACCTTAGTCCTCAAGGTGACCTCTGCTCATGAGCACTCCCAAGAGGTTTTGTAAGCAGATTTTCCCAGTGCAGTGCATCATTTGATTTCTTGACTGCTGCTTCCGTAGCGTGGATTGTGGCTATAAGTAAGATGAAATCCGTAGCAACTTCCCATCTTCTTCACTATTTATCATCATGCTGCTTTGTGGTCCAGTTGGGAGGATTTTGTTTTCTTTACTTTGATTTGTAATCCATAGCGAAGGCTGTGCTCTGTGATCTTCATCAGCAAGTGCCTCAAGTCCTCTTTGCTTTCTGCAAGCAAGGTTATGTCCTCTGCACAATGCAGGTCTTTAATGAGTCTTCCTCCTGATATCACGTTCTTTTTCATATAGTCTAGTTCTTGAATTCTTGGCTCAGCTACAGTGCATCCTTTCTAATGTGTGTATTTGATGGGTAAGAGCTGATGTGGTGTGGTGCTGTAGAATAAACACTGGACTGTTACCTGCAAGGTCAATGGTTCAAACCCACCAGCTGCTCCTTGGAAATCCTATACAGTTGCTTTACTGCTAACCTTATTAGTGTAGGTTGGCTGATATCAGCTAGTTCATACTTGTTGTTAAGTGTCATCGCGTCAGTTCTGACTCATAGTGACCCTGTCTAGGGTTTTTCAATGTCGGTGGGCCACGCTGACATACAGGCCAGTGCCCACAGACACAAAGATGGCCGTGCAGAGTCACTCATGCCCAACAAAACAAAGCCAAACCCACTGCCACCAAGGTCACTCCGACTCATAGCACCGAAGCCGGCAGCTGGTGAGTTTGAACTGTTGACTTTTCAGTTAGCAGTCAAGCAATGTGGCCACCAGATCTCCCTGCCCTGATATGACAAGCAGAGGCCTAAACTAGTGTCGTCCCAGAAGAGGCCACCGTCAGCCTGGAGCCCTTGCTCAAGTCAGTCGTTTTAGATGGATTTGTAAAATACTTTTCGGGGTAGTGGTGGCTCTGAGGACTGGGGGGTGTTAAAGGTTGGCAGCCTCATGGACTCTCAGGAAAGGCAGGAGTACCCCAGTACTGGGGTGAGGGGATGAGGGTCCATCTGGGCTGGGTAGGAAGTGAGCTCTAGAATAAGAGTCAGTTGCAGCCTAGAGAGATGCTGCCTGTACAAACAGAGTGGGATCTTTTGCCTGCATTCAGGAAGCGGAACCACAACAATGAATACTTAATATTTTCTTCTTGAGTGCCAAGACGGTTGCATTCGTTTTTAAGTGTGATACAAATGTTTAAACATTTCCTGCTTCCCACCATGAGTGGGACGTGGGCTGTTGTAGGAGACATGTGGCCCCTGGCCGGGCCCTGGAGCACCAGCACCGTCTCTGCTCCTCTCATCACCCGGGCTGCAGGAGACGCTGAAGGAAGCTGCCACCCAGTAGCAGCGGTTCTTGGTGTGTGGCCAGGCCTCCCGCTGCCTTCTCCAGTTGGCACAACTGGAGGTAGTTACCAAGCTCCGATGTGTGTGTGCAAAGTGCCCGGCTCTCCACTATAAATCAGGGTCCTCGGAAACGTTGCAAAGCTAAACACATCCCACTTTACTACACTCCACAGGGCTCTTGAGTTTTCTGCAATAATGAAGAGAGGACGACGGTGTGCCACCACCATAAAACAGTGGGAGCCGCCCTCAGATCCCCAGACCTCTGAGGCAAATGGGGAGCCCTGGTGGTGCAGTGGTTAAACTCTCAACTGGGAACCCTTGAACCCCTCAGCTGCTCCTCAGGAGAAAGATAGATACCTGCTTCTGTAAAGAGTTACAGCCTTGGAAACCCCACGGGCCAGTTCTGCTGTGTCTTCTAGGGTCCCTCTGAGTCTGCTGGACTCTGCTCCACCGCGGGGGCTTTCAGTGGACTTTAGTGTCAATACCCAGACTGAAGGCTGGACCTCTCTGTGTCCTGTGTCTTTTATTGCAAGAACACAAAAACGTTGGACAATTTGAAATAAAGTCACTTTCATGAATGTTTGAGGAAATGGTTTCGTGTCTCCATGCTGATGAGAGTAGGCACAGACAAGGGAGTGTCTCCTGTCTCAAAGGCAGGTCCCCACCTGGGTTTGTGGAAAGCTGACCACCGAAAACCTCAGCACACTAAGGACAACCCCTTCAAGATCTGGTGGCTACCTTGCTGGGACGGAAATGCCTGCACTGTTTCCTGCCTACATTTCTAGCTCTAGCTGCTCAGGATTCAGTGTGTCAGTAGTTGGATCAAGGCAGTTTTGGTTGAAGAAGGACTTTAAAGAAATAGATTTTTTCTGAAGGCTGCCAGACTCTGTCTGGCCCTTATTTCCTTGCTGGACTGATTGAACCCTTTTCTAAATAATTTATCTGTTTGCCACTGTTGAAGTATTTCTTGTGATTCAATTTGAGACTTTGCCTTATTGCCTCTTAGGTACATAAATTTGCTTTCTGCAGGAGATTGAAGTAGGGGAAGGGGGGGAAAGCCAAGTGTTGTTTCGGTTGAAAATATTGCCGTTAAATAAACCTCACTCATTTCATCGTACGTCTCAGATGAAAGTTTTATTGGGAGGTGGGAGTAGGAGATTAGAGAGCTGGGGGTATGCAGCGCTGAATTTATCTTTTTCAGAATTTACCAGCACATCTGGGCTCCGGCAGTTGAGTTCAGATGTCTTCCTGGAACCCCGAGTCTGTGTGAAAGCAAATGGGCGGGGTCTCCATGTGACTGCGTGCTGCTCTGTCCCCTACACTCCAGAATCAGAATTACAACTCTACAGCACAGTTCCTTGGAGTTAATTTCAGTTCTTTTGTGGATTGAAAATAAACTTCTATGGAAATAGTTCTAATTTATTAAAGTAGATGAGCACATTTGGTGAAGTGAACGTTGTTAATGGGCTCTGAAGTGAGCCCAGGACTGAGCCCACTGTGACCAGTGTGTCTAGGAAAGGAGACAGGAATTGCCTTGTAGTTAGTTTATTAATACCCTGGCAGAAACACCTCATCATCATCTTAGCCAACTGTAAGAGTTGGGGAGGTGGCCTGTCCACTCTCTGTGCTTTGGACTCTACAGGAAGCAGAATGCCAATGGGACCCGTCTTTGAGGTGATGGACAATCCTTAATGAATCTCTGTGTTCCCGTTCTTCGTTGTCCACACTCAGCTGTGATTTGTGGGGTAGGGTCAGCACATGTTAGATTCCAGTCTTCCCTTCAGTTCATCCTGCTTCTCAGATCTGTCATGGTTGACATAGTGTGGTCGAGGAATGAAAATTGGTTTTAATATTAGACAAACAAGTTTTTTTTTTTATGCTTCCTAGTAAGAGTATATCTAGGTGAGAAGTCTGACTCAGGACAACAAATAAAGCTCCTGCAACTTGTCCATCTCTCAAATGGAATAATTGTCGCATCTCCATTTTAGTGACAGTTACCCTTCCTTGGGTATGGGTGCTAAAGGTGTTTGCCATTCTCTGCGGTCCTGCTTAGAAAGAACCAGAATGAATGACTTTTTCTCATGGGTGGAGAGGAGGGGGTAAGGAAGTTGGACAGGAGAAGGCAGGACAGTTTCTTCCCTGTTGTGAATATTGACAGGCTTATCCATTGGCTTTCAGACAGGTGTCTACAGAACCCAATGTGGATATGGAATGCATTGGTTTCTGGTGGGGG